CAGGACCCAAAACTGAGCCCTGGGGGACACCACTTGTGACCGGCCGCCAGCTGGACTTAACTCTATTCACCACCACTCTCTGGACTCGTCCATTCAGCCAGTTCTTTATCCAGTGAAGAGTACACCCATCCAAACCATGGGCAGCTAGTTTCTCCAGGGGGATGCTATGAGAAATGGTGTAAAAGACCTTACTAAAGTCCAGGTAGACAACATCCACAGCCTTTCACTCACCTACTACGTGGGTCACCTTGTCATAGAAGGAGATCAGGTTGGTCAAGCAGGACCTGCCTTTCATGAACCCATGTTGGCTGGGCCTGAGCCCCTGGTTGTCCTTCACATGCCCAGCAAGCGCACTCAGGATGAATCGCTCCATAATCTTCCCCAACACTGAGGTCAGACTGACAGGCCTGTAGTTCCCCAGATCCTCCTTCTGGCCCTTCTTATTGATGGGTGTTATATTGGCCATCCTCCAGTCACCTGGGACCTCCTCTGTTAGCCAGGACTGCTGATAGATGATGGAGAGTGGCTTGGCCAGCTCCTCTGCCAGCTCGCTCAGCACTCTTGGGTAGATCCCATCTGGCCCCATGGACTTGTGATTGTCCAGGTGGCATAGCAGGTTGTCACCTACTTCCTCCTGGATTATGGGAGGTTTAGATTATGGGAGGTTTATTCTGCTCTCTGTCCCCATCTTCCATCTCAGGGGGCTTAATACCCTGGGAATAACTGGTCTGACTATTAAAGACTGAGGTGAAGAAGGCATCAAGTACCGCAGCCTTTTCCTCATGCTTGGTGGCAATGTTCACCCTCACATCCAATAAAGGGTGGAGATGCTACTCGGTGCTATTTTTGTTGTTAATGTATTTGTAAAGACATTTTTTTACCTCTTACAACAGTAGTCAAAGGTTTCCTCATGTCACCAAGGAAGTAATGAGGATGAGATACAGCTCTTTTAGCCAGATCTAAAATGCTTTAAAGGGAAGGTCTAAATCTGAGGTCTAACATTAAAGAGCTAGCAATTTTGTAAAGTTAAGTTCAGAAGTCCAGGTTATACTTTAAGTCGGCAAAGAACATAGTGAAAAAGGCAGAAACCAAAACTGATTCAATTTGTGCCTAGTGAGCCATGCAGATGAAAACTTACTGTAGCCAAAAAATTTGATTGTGAACTAATGACTGAAGGCTGGAACTATGCTAGTGTTAAGAGTTAGCACAACCTGGTGATTTCTTTCCTTTCTTGTGGTGTAAGAAGTTGTCTGAGCCATCTCAAATGATAAAAAAGTTTATCTAGTTACCTATGTCAATTGGTACACAAGCTTCTGAAGGCCTGAGACATGAAAATCATGACATGGTTCTTCTCCAATCAGCGCAGGCAATCCTCCCTTTTCTCCCCTAGTACAAGGAAGCTGGGAAGAAGGTAAGCACCAAGATTTGGGGAAAGCAGAAAAAATTCTTTACTCTTGAGAATTCAGGAAGCTGTTATAAAACCAAGTTTGATTCAAGGAAAGACAGTCTTGGCTCCTATGTAAAAGCGTATGTATGAATTTGAATTCAGAACAATTGCTAAACAGCAGTTTATTGCAGAGTTGGTAAAAAGCACTGACAAATGGATGATACAATTTTCAAACGGTAACGTTCCTTGCGTATCTTGGTTGCATGAGTAAATCTTCTGACATCAGCGAGATTACTCACAACTTGAAATCCAGACTATAAAAAAATTCTTTTAGAAGGGATCCAAATATCTATTTGCAGACTTTCCATATAATGCATGTTTCAAATGCTCCCCCCTCAGGTGTCCAATTAACACATTTATGAAATGTGAACAGCACATAAAGATATCCTTAACAGGAAAAGAAAAACAACTTGACTACAAAAGTAGTTACCCATTCTGTTGACCAGAATCATTTCCCCTGCAAAGTGTTCCCAGTTTTGACATAAGAAAAATACTACATCTCAATGCCTTATTGCTAATTCTGAAGAGAAGTAGCTTGATACAAACTTCTGAAATCCTGTCTGAACTGAAATTTTAACATTCTAAGTTGTTTCACAATTTCAATGTAAAATGGTGTGTCCAAAGTACCAGAGAAGAATGAATATTCTGCATTATAAAGTCGCAGCAAAAACCCAAACCTGAACTATCTTTGAAATATTACAATACACAACTTGAACTCCCCACCCAGTGTGTTGCCACGTTACACAGAACTGTACTCCACTGATTTAAGTAATTTTACTGTGATATGAGCACAATGTAGTAACAATGCAGTTCACTGTTAAACAGTAGCTAACAGCAACAAATGAAATTAAATTATTGCTAGAAGAGAGTTAGTCATGAGCTATACAATTACTTTACAACTGAACAGAAAGCCAGACAGACTTGACTCACAAACACAACACAAACACAACAGGATGAAAAAGTAGCACATCAGGCCAAACTTCTGAAAAAGGAGCTAAATGACTTACCTTACAGTCTAAGAAGAAGAAAGAACAATGCCCATATCCTTAGCGTGTCATTACAGAAGAATTCCTTCGTTAACAAGACACAGGCAGTATTTTGTTTCATGGGCTTATGAAGAAAGGACGTATTTGTGCTGTACTTTTTATCATCAAATGTGATTCCCAGGGTCATACTGTTACTATGAAGTGGCTTCATTAACAAGCATGGAAGTGATACATCCTACCTCCACTAGAAACATGTGGGGAAAAAGTTTGCCATATGGGAAAAAGCAGAAAAATCGGTGAGGAAGTAAGTGCTTAATCTTCCTGGATATGACAGCAAAAAAGGCAAAGCTCAAATTGGCTTTAAGTATGTTATATTTATAGTTATGAACATGCGTTCACGCATTTTACAGCTATTCAACAACGACATTTTTAAAATTTTACTGTAATTGCAGAATTTCTCCTAGAAGCCAGAAAGGTGAATCATTTTTAAGTTTTTGGTGCAGTATGATGAGATTAGGAAGTTTATTAAATCTACATTTTAATTCCTTGCTGATTCTTGACCAGAGTCTTTAGCAGTACGATGTACTTATAATTGTTGGGTCTTATCCTGAAGCACACTGGAGCAGCAGCTTAACAGATGGCATTGTGGAAGGCCTCTATTGATTAAACAGTGCTTCAAGATTATTTCCTCAATTCTCTGTCTGGAACATTTACCTTCGTTGACGTCTGACACCTGGTTCCAGGAGTTAACAGTTATTACCAGAGGAGGCTGGCTTTGATCCCTGGGGTCAACTGCAAAGCCAAAGTGGAAAAATGCGTCTTTGCAATGCGCAAGGGCAGCTGATACTGGCTACTGCATAAGCAGTCCCACCTCTAACAGTCTCTCTTCTGTCATGAATCCTTCTCCTTTCCTTTCTCCTTTCCAAACCTGGTTTCTTCTCATGTCTAACTGGGAACATCTCATAACTTTAGTCTCTTAAATAAGATCGTATCTGTGTCCCCAAGATCACTAAACATTGCAAAAAGTAAACTGCATTCAATTACAAAGGAAATAGTAACAAACCAGATGACTCGGTTAAGCACCCTGTAACTTTTCTTGTGAGCTTTTGAGCACCTGACTAGGTTAAAAAAAAAAAAGGAAAGAAAACTTTATACTTCTCTTTTCACAATGACACTGGTTAATTGATTCATAAATTCTGAAGACTGTCTACAACTTGTCAAGTCATGTGAGTTTTGCTGGTACACATTACAGATAACGATACTGATAGCTGCCATTTAAGGCACAGTTGATTCTGGGATGAAGATTTCACCACTCTTGATATCAAGCAGGCATTATGTTCTCAAATCTCTGAGCAGCCTTTCTGGATATAGTACTAAAACAGTAAGGTCAACTGGGGGAAGACACAAGTGACAAACTTTAGATTATGGTTATAAAAGTATAGGAGACTCAGCTAGCACATTTCAACATGTTAACCCCCCTTCCAGTTTGAAGTTGTTCCTGAAGGCGGCATTTCGCCGAGACGTTTTATTCCGAAACAGATAAAGAAGTACATAGGACTATTCTACCTCGGCGAAAGACAAGTTACTATGATCAGTCTAATGGGATTCCCTGTGCTTTTCTGCCTAACCATGCTTCAGGACTACAGAAATATGTTTTCTGTGAAGTATGTAAGAAGCTTAAAACAAAATATATGTTTTGAAAACTGAACTAACACTTACATTCATTTCTAGCTAAGTTTTCATCCTCTACCTACTGCTTAAAAGCTAAGATCAACAAACAAATAATGGTAGCTTCAACAAAAATTTTGATATCTACTGCAGGCTTAACATGGCATGTTAAGAACATGCCTGCAGCTGGAACTATTTCTTCTTTATTCTACATCACAATATTCACTACTGGATTTAAGAATGGATCTTACACATATAGACAAGCTCTAAAAAAACCCTCATTGTCTTCCTCTTCAGTATAAAAATATAGCATGCACGCACACAGAATAAGACTTCTCTAGGCAAAGATGTCTGCCATAGGTAAAAATAAATACTAAAAAAATTTGAGAAATCTTGTACACATAAAAAAACATGCTATGCACGTACTCATGTCAACTATATAACAAAATTTCATTCCATCTATGCTATTCCAATAGGTGGACCCAGGAAGTACATTTGCATTCATTCAATCTTGATGTTTTATGTGCTCCTTAGACTTCAACTGCCACTGAACAGGCTAGTTACTATAATCCAGAAGTGTCTAATTTTGTTCCAAATAAGGTTTGTTTTTTTTAAATACAGAAGCAAATGAGTACAGAATTATATTTATGACTGAAGAGCTGGTTCAACAAATTAAACTTTCCACAGACAATACATTTGTTTCCTGAGATGGCTAAAAGTCACGTTTCAACTTCATGTTACACTACAATTAACAAAAAATACTATGCACAAAATCAGAGGTTAACTACAGCATACAAACACATTTACAGAAGTAACCTAATTTCACTAGTACTATCTGTGTCAATGTGCACACCTTAACAAAAGTCTTAAAATCATCTTTATACATTACAAAACAAGGATTTACAAAACTTTTATTTCCAAGTTACTTCATTCTAAAAATGTTGAAACATAAAAAAATACCATTTCCTAAAGGCGTTTACAATAAAAGGCTAACAATCTGGCATGGAAGAGGTAAATATATGGAAACCTGTTTTAACAGTCACACATCAGTCGCTGGTGATTAAAGAACACTTTGTTCTTCAAAGCTGGTAGGCACTTCCACATAGCCAGAAATGTACGCTTTCCTACCACTCCTTTTCCCTCCCATACATAAAAATATCCAATGCAATAAAAAAAACGTAGGATAAAAGGGTGGACATGTGATCAAATAAAAGCATTATCTAAGGTCTTGATTACTGTTCATCTTGTGTAAGTGTCAGGATTTTGTCCCAAAGTTTTCCTGACAAGGTGGAGTTATTTGGCCTTTAAAAGTGTTAGCTGAAATATCTCCCTTTTTTACCAGTATATGTTGTTTGCTCACTGCTGTATTGTTGGTTTATGTCTGTAACAGAAACTGGCTCTAGGCCAGCCCATGGGTCCTCAAGCATTGAAGGTCTGTAATAGTTTTCCACATCATTAGACACTCTTTCCTCTCTGCCATGCGCTGTACCAAATGGAGTAGATGTCCTGGGTGATCCCTTTGGAAGAAAACCATCAGGTAAAGAAACATTTAATAGACTAATTCAAACTAATTATATAAAAAAAATTTCCTTCTAATGTAGCAGAGCTTTGAAGCCGATTATTAAGGATAATTACTACTCCTCACCTGCATCTTCCTCAGAAAACGTTAACTTTATTATACTTTCGAGTGATGATTTACCACGATAAGGAAAACACCCCACAAATTCTTCTCCACTCTGGCACATAACTACAGAAAAGCTCCTCATGCTATTTTTCATAGGCTGCCTAAGCCAATGACAGGTCTAACTCAAAAGCTGAGCAACAAAACAGGGACTTAGAGGCTGAGGAAGAGTTGATAAAGTTTACAAAAGCAGAAGTCAGATATTAAGTACTTACAGATTGAACACAGCATTGTACAAAGCAAATAGTTGCAAATGACCTGAAGAACTCACTGGGAAAAACACACTCTTTTAACCAAACTAGTGCTCTGTGAAATTTGAGAACAGATTATTTTATTTCATATACAATCTGGATGATAATCTGTCATTAAGCAGATACTGAATAAAAGAAAAACCTTCTGCATGGAGCTTTTGAGATCTGTTGGTTTTTTTAAAGATCGAGGATCACCACAATTGCTTCTGCAAACCTGCTAAAGTCTGCAACTTAGAGAGCTATGACAAAGTAAATTGCTATAACCATTTTCTCCTGTTAGCATCATCCTTGCCTAAAAAGTGAGGTTTTGTCTAAAGCTATATTCATTTAAATTCATTTGTTTCAACCAAAGTTTAACTACTGTGTATCTGTAGTATAGGTTGTTCATCTCCAAACACGCCTGTTGCATTCTCTATTATTAGAACAGGACTCCTTGACGCCAATTACCAGCCTCTGACTTTGTAAAGGAGAGTAAAAGCACTGATGAAGGGCTGCTATCCCTCCTCTCCCCCCACCCCCTTTTTCTGGGCCAGCAGATGGTATTTGAATTTGACTAGTAAGTCCTACAGAATCTACATAAACAGATCACATGAAACAATTTCTGGGTAAAACTGAGAAATGGTGCCATACATCGAAGGCCCCTATCCTTAGCCAGAAGAAGAGATTCCACTGGAAACTGCTGAGTCTTGAACATATTTCTGAAAGTACGCTGCGGCAAGAGCCTGCTTGTCTGGCCCCAGGAAGTACTTTTCTGGAACTCCTAAAGCTTGATGATACTGGATACACAACCGAATGTGGGAACATCCATGTCTTATTTACAGGGCATTTGTTTCTAACGATTCATTGTAGTACAATTAGGTTATGTAGCTACGCTGATTATCTAAAACCAGAAAAATTACTAAAAGGTAGCGAATTACTTCATGAAGTATTGTGTCAAATCCATGAGGGAAAGGTCAGAGAATCACCTCAGAATACAGCTAAAAACTCTCTAAGGGACAAGGAGTTTCCTAGAGCAAGTCAACATGCACTAGCAAAAGTGACAGCAATGTTCTTTAAGCACTCACATTTAGTAGTAAAGCAGTAGTACACAGTGCATTCTATCTTCAAAATAAAAAAACCACCCCTCTCTACAATACCATGTTTAATGGAGACCCTGTAACTTTAACATTGTAAAACAGTTTGAGTGTGGAGTTTATTTGATGTTATGTCTAATCTGCAGCACTCAAGAAAGCTGAACTGACAATGATCTGCAGTATCCAGTGACAGAAAAAATAATTCAATGGTAAGACTCTTCTGGATGGATTTATTTTATAATATTCAATTTCACTGCAATATAATGCAGGCCATCAGTAACACCAACATTTGTGCACATCTGAAATCTAGTAAATCTATTATCATATAATACAAGATTGACAGCCTTCAATAAATGTTAAAAAAAAAAAATCAAAATGCGATTATTCATGTTATAGGCTGTGGAAAAGGAAAGCAGCCCTACCTGCGCAAGTGAAACCATTCTGTGCAATAGAAACTGTTTAGTGCCAAAGATACCTCACAAAAAACTTTATACGTTACTGTCACTGGTGCTAACAGCGTTTTCTGACTGAACTTGCCTTAAAAAAACAGTCAATCTATTCTCAATACTTTTTTCCCAGACAACAAATATCTACTATAGGAAAAAAAAAAATCTTTTGGTGCTACCAGCATGTTACTGAATGTGGTAACACTGCCTTGAAAATGCAGACAATCACTCCCTTTATCAGCTTTCTTCTAATTTTAGCTGCTGGCAGATGCACAGAAACACAGATATCACGATTACACCAATTCACAAGATTTTTTTTTTTTTTTTTACTTTCTGTAATAATTTTCAACCCAACACCACTATCTAGCTACTGCTACTACCTAGTTCACTAACTCCTGTTGCATGCAGAAAGGGGAACACTACCGCTGAAGTGAATTCTAAGAGGAGTTCTTCAAGAGATACAACAAATGTTTTCATAAAATTTAAAGCAGATGCATCTCTGCAAAAAAAAAAAAAAATACAGAAAGCTCTGTAAAGTATTGGCCACAAAGGTTAAGACAGCCATTTCAGAAAAATCAAGCTTACTATGTTTTTCTTCAACTTTTCTGTTCATTTCAAAAAGTGCAAGCACAAAATGAGCACAGAATACTAACATGTCATTAACAGAACACTGAAGTAAATGTAAACCGTCTTCTGGATTTCCTGATGAGATTTTCAAGGGTTACTTAACATTTTCATCTCAAGGTGACAGTAGCATCATAAATTTCAAAAGCACTGTAGTCTCTTAACAATAGCATCTACAGAAGAGAAGAGAACAATCCCCACACCTCAGAAGAAATTTGATGCTTAGGACATGCAAAAAATCCCTCTGCCTGAATCTACTCATGGCCTCAAGGACTGAGATTCTCACTGCCCATGTCAAAGAAAATCAGGACTCACAGTTTATGAGGCTTCCTCCCTCCGTGATTGTCTCTATTGCCCTCACAGGCAAAACAACCCATGTGTATACACGTACAAGCACACACATGCACATTACCTTAGTCCCAGGCAAAGCCACAGACATATGATGTCTTTCTAGTCTTAGAAAGCATCACCATCAGGTCAATGCTCATAAACTACCCACAAAGTCTGCAGATGGGGAGAAGGGAAAACGTGACTGGATTTAGACTTGTACATTCTTTAGGTCAGGTTTCTTACTTAAGCCCAAGGATAGAGCCTATGAGACGGTTCCCACCTACGGGTCCTGAAGTGAAACAGTTCTGACTAAAACTAAAGGCAAAAGGATTACTGCATATTCTTCTGCTGGGTTAATTTCAGGCAGGCTTTTTTTTAACAATATCCAAAGAGTGAATTTCTGAAGGGGAATGTCTAGACATTGGTGACACAAACCATCCCTCCAGCATCTGCAGCAGAAACCCCACATTCTTTGCCTTTTCAACAGGTACAGAGGTTCAGCAACCTGTAGGCTTCCATGCTGGGAGAGCTTTTGCAGTTGTGTCGAAGGAACTGTACAAAGTTCATAATGATCACCTTCCACCAACTATGAGATTCCTGTAAGACAGCTACCTACATCGTATAAAACTAACCAAAGAATATTTTTGATTGGAAATGCGACTACGCAGTGCAGGCACATTAAGATCTGACTAATCTCTATTAAGATTTGATGTCATTATTACACTTTAATCCTTAAAGTGTCAGTAAGAGCACCTGAAAACTTTACCTTTGTCTGTACTGCACATGTAATTTGTTACCCTTTCAAGGTTTCCCTAACACTGCATAAAGCCAGCTACGTACGTAAAGTCGGTATCATCTCAAGAACTGTCATCCCTACCTGCACTGCCAGTCACACACCCCAACTAAACCACCTGGAAAAAAGCGTAACTCACAGAATCTGTTGTTGACAGCTCTTGGGAAAACTACTTCATAGGAACTACAGCTTTCAGTGCAATGCAAAGACTTTAAAATTATACTCTATTCTCCCACAGATGCTCTCATTTCTGCTTAAAGGAGGGTCAGCTTAGCTCTCTATCAGAGCACTCCTCCTTTTCTCTACTCATGTCCCAGAAAGCTCTGTGTGCGGACAGGGCAGCTTCCACGCTGCAAGATGACACAGGCAAAGTAAAAGCACACAGCACCTCACCACTATGCTAAAGAAAACTGATCAAAGGGAGGTGCACCCGAGGGCAACAGATGTTTGCTGCAGTTTTGGGTGGTGCTTAATTTTCCCTCCACCTTCAGACGCCAGAGCACGAAAAGGAAGAAAGCGACAGTCTGGTGAGCCCTCGTGTCTTCGCAACAGGCCTCAGCCGGGCCTGGGAGCCTCCTCCCTTTCCTGATCACACAGCTCCCTGAGCTGGGGTTTCTCCACCCTCTCTGCCATGGGGAGAAGACAAGCGTTTCCCCAGTGCGGTGCAAATCTCGCTCTCCCCTGCAAATCGCGGTGGAGGCGACGGACGCCGCGCCTTGCCAAAAGCCCTCGGCGTGCCCTGCCATGCCCCGCGGGCCGAGCAGCAGCGGCAGCTCCCTT